AGCAAAAGAGCTCATGGACAGCACCCAGGCTGAATTCAAACCCTATTACTGACCAAGAAAAAAAAAAAAAAAAAGCTGATGACAAGGATGGTATCCCTAAAATTTTGTATTAATCAGGCTAAATGAAACCTGGGCATCAGAAGTTTGGAATGATTTTTAAATATATAGCTAGATTTAAAACTGCACAAAATTTATCTGCCTGGCTTACATTCACAACGCTGAAATAGTTTTTACCTAACTGCTCTGCTTCAATGCTATCAGTATATTGAGGGGTTCTTCTAAATACCAAAATATAACCATTCCAAAAGGGCAGACATAGGGCATTTATCCACTAAGAGTATCACTTCATATTCAACCCCGTGGGGATCAATTTCTGTGCTTCATGACATTCTCAATGTGAGCTAAGGGGATTAGTTTACTCTTAGTCCCCACTGTTTAAATTAATATTAAAGCTTTCCTAAACAATGAAATCGCCAATAGGCTAAGAATTCACAAATTAAAAGGGAAAAAATCATGTGCCAGAAAGAAAATGTGCAAAGAATATGATAAACTGCATACTGAAAGAATATAAATGGCCAAACATGATTTTTGAAATTCACTAGTGATCAAATGTACTTATTGCCTTACTTAAGTAACTGTAACCCCTCTGTACATTACTTTGACAATTAAAAAAAAATTTTTAAGTAATCTTAACATATAATTCTTTCCCCAAATCAGCAACACAGGGTCATGCCTATGAGGTTGAAACCACGGTTCAAAGCCAGCACTGGCAGGAAAGTCTGTTAAGACTCTCATCTCCGATTAACTACCCCCCCCCAAAAAAAAAAGCCAAAGTGGGGCTGTGGCTTAAGTGATAAAATGCTAGCTTTGAGCAAAAAAGGCTCAAGAACAGTGCGCAGGCCAAGTTCAAGCTCCAGAACTGACACAAAAGAAAACCCAGCCATAATAGAACTAATGTACACATAAATAAACCCTTAAACTCCTGAAATAAACAATAGATTTTTTTAAGTAGTACAGTGGTATACTGTCAAGACCTCTAAGAGTTCTTACCCTTTCTAATAATATAAATGTAAAATAAAAATGTCAAATGACCAACATTAGAGGAGCTGTTTTTAGTTTAAGCCATCAAAATGAGAATCCTAGAGATTATTTACTGTTTTGGTTAAAAACTCTAAGAAAGTCAGAAAAATACCCAGTAAGACATATTTCATGGGAGGCAACATATTCAAATGTTAACAATACTACTTTTTAAATGTTTTGCTGTTTTGTTTTGAATTAGGCATTGACATCTCATGCCTTGTAAACCTCACTATTCAGGAGACTGAGATGTAGAAAATCACAGTTCAAAGCCAGCCCAGGCCAAGAAGTCCACAAGACTCCATCTCCAAATAACCAGCAAAAAGCCAAGCCGGACGTGTGGTTCAAGTGGCAGAAGTTGTGGGGGAGAGAAGGTATTGTTGTTTTTAATTTCCACAAGAATCCCACCAAGTATAATCATCTCTACTGCTGGGGTGAAAAAACTGTGAGATAAGATAACTTGTGATGGGGCTGGGAAGGTGGCTCAGTGGTAGAGCGCCTGCCTTGCATGCCTGAGGCCCTGGGTTCAATTCCTCAGCACCACATAAGCAAAAAGAAAAAAGCCAGAAGTGGTGCTGTGGCTCAAGTGGTAGAGCGCTAGCCTTGAGCTGAAGAGCTGAGGGACAGTGCCCAGGCCCAGAGTTCAGGCCCCACAACCGGACCCCCCCCCAAAAAAGATAACTTGTGATGATGCATTTCAGTTCATAAATATTTATGGTGAATAATGAGGGTTGAGACGATGGTCTCAGTGAGGCTGGGCTGATAACCACATCAGATGGATCGAAAATTCAGGTGACCTTTGAAAGCTGTGCTCAACACTTCCTGAAACTCTCAAAAAAGAAAAAGAAAAAAAAGGCAAACCAGCTGTTGCATATTGTTTTAAAGGACCTCAGTCTGAATAGGTCATTTATATGGCAGACAATCAGAGCACACAAAAGCAGGCTATCACAGTCAAGATGAAATAAAGCTACCTGAGTGAGGTTCACTGTATGCTATAAAAAAGTTAGTTTCTGGAAAAACTTTTTTTTACCATCTATGTTTCACTGATATACATGTCTGTTTAGCAAATTCTTGAACTGAATGAAATCTAATGCTCATTATTCATATTAACTAAAATCAAAATCCCACAGCAAATTTTACAGAGCTAATTTTACAGAATACTTTTTACAGAGAAACTGGCCCCTCAATGAAAATTAGCGCTCCAATCATAAATTGCAAATATAAAGCATACAACCTATGGAGATATTCAATAAAATACTTGCATACTAATGATAACCACCAGATAGTATTTTTACATTAATTCACTATAAATACTATAAGTTTACTATAAAATATTCTCTTTGTTCATCTCTAAGTCCTCAAATCAAAGTCTGCCAGGATTATCTTGGTATGTACCTCCAAATACTTAAAACATCCATATAGTTCCAAAGCTTCAAGAAGAAAATGGTATAGTGATAATACTATGCTGCTTGTCAATTGATTAAAAAAAAAAACTTCAGAAATATCTGTTGCTTAAGACATCAAAATAAATTAGTAAACATAATCATGCACTGTATTGGTCTGCATCATTATTTGCACTCCTTAAAAGAAAATACACTGAGTGTTAACTAACTTGGAGTAAAGTACATTCAGGATAACTCTTTCAATATTTAAGCTGTTGCCAAACAAAAGTTTATAAATAAAGCTTTTTCTGAATTACTAAATTGGTTGTACCTTGATGAATCAGTATAATAAGAATCTCAGTTTTTACTTCGCCACTTGGTTTCCATTCTGTGTAAACAGCTGGAGATTCTCTTAGGCACATCCAGTTTAAGTTCATCTGAATGTCCATGTTGTTGCACTCAAGTCAGTTCATAATACAACTTTTCAACAACTGCTGTTTCTATAAGGGTGTATGTGCCTCCCCTCTTGCCCAAAGTCATAATGGGACCCAGAAAATTAAAGTAAACATGATTGTTATATTCAAAACACATGTCACAACTTTTCAGACATAACAATATGGATAGTTGACCTGAAATTCCTAATACTTTAACTCTAGGTTGTTCCATATTTGCTGCTTTGAATAATTATTACAACATTCACATCTGTCTTGTCCAAATGGCACCTCCACAAACAGCATAGTTCAGAGGCCTTATCTTACACTAGCATCTGATTCTGTATCATTACCTCAGAAACAGCTACATACTTTCAAAAGTCAAAATCATATTAGGTAGTATAAAAAATAGAAACTAAATTATAGATTCAGATTAATTTACTTTGGTGTTCAATTTATATACAATTCGTAACAGATGAGAAACAGAACACTGATGTTTCCGAAGTATTAAACAATAGTCAAGGTGGTAAAATATAAACAAAGCACAAAAACCGATATATGTAAGCCAAATAGGGAGAGTGTGCATAGACACTTCTTATGTCACCTCTACAATGGAATTCTCTATCTTTAAAGAGAATTTTGTTTATACACACTTTCCCTTTCCACAAAAAGGCAAAGTGTTCAAGTGGTGAACACTATTTAATACGTAGAATTAAGTACGTTATCAAGAAGTCCATCATATCTTGATTAATAAATAAGAACAGGGTATAAGAACACAAGAACAATTTACAACTGTTAATAAGGCTTAAAAAATACTAACCATAAAACTGAAATATACCTAGAACCTGCCTTAGAACAATTCCAAAGTCTGCTTCTCTCATAAATAAATTCTCTCCTAATAATTGCAAAGGAATTCAATAGTTATTACATCAGCAAAAAGTATATCTAAAGACTTCTGAAACTCAAATTTAATATACTGATGAGACTTTTATTATAAGTTAAACATCCTTAATATTTTTTAAAAATCATTCTTGTTACTGAGTTTTTCTTCATTTGGTTTAATTAACCAATATGATTTGTCTCAAATTATCTTGTTATATCAGCAATATGCTGTTTTATGTGTAGAAACAGAAATTTTCAGAAAACTAGGGGAGAGGAAAGACGATAGTGAGCTATAAAAATTTAGAAAACCAAAAACTTCCTCCTCTTTAATACAGCAATATACAATGTTGTCATAATCTATTAAACATCAGGTGGTTTGCAAAACCTTCCTCATCATGTCTTCAATAATGAGACCTCACCACTTAAGAGCCATTTTTCTTCTGCTATGAATCTGAAGACTGCCTTTGCAGTATTACAGTGTCAGATGTAATATTAAGGGGAAAGCAGGTATACCCAACATCTAATAAATACACTATTCTCATACCAGTGAGAGCTAGAACAAGCAAATTTCAGACAATTCTAAAGCTTAGGGGACATAAAGAAGAACTTTGGGGGGAAAATTCTTTCCAATGTAACAATTTAGGATTAAAAAATATGCAATAATGGTAACTATCTTATCATTCATTGAATTGTGTGGGAAACTCAACTGTTTTAAGAAGAATAATTATTAGGAAGCTTTAATAAAAGATAGAAAGTGTTATTTCAGACACCAGAAGCTTAAGTGCAGAGGCCATATGATAAAGCAAGGTGCCTATTCCTGAGGAAAACATACTTAATGCTGAACAGTAAATATTAAATTTAAGCAGTGCTACAAAGGCAATATACGGGAAGTTCAGGAAATGTTACAAAGAAAAGAGACTTGTGAGAAATTCCATTACTTAAAAATAATACTGCCCCTATTATTAACCACTTATTTTATTTGCTTTTTGTTTTTTGTGTTGTTGTTTTTGTTTTTTGCTGATGTGCTAAAGTGCACTGGAAACTTTAGAACACATTTTATTTTTTGTTTTGAATTATTCGTGTCTAGTTTATAGACTGCAGTCTTCAAATTTATATACAGAGCTGCAGGTCTCCTGGATTTTTTTCCAAGTGTCACTCATCTAACTGAACCTGTCAGCTGAGAAATGCTATCCGATGCTTTACAGTCAGTTTAAAAAACATCCTCTACCTGGTATCTCTGCAGTGATTGTCTTGCTGCTCCCTGAAACCTCTTCATCATCATCTGATGAGCTTGTGCTTGAGTCACAAGTCAGGTCACTATCACTGGTACTACTGTCCTGTAGCAGATTGTACTTCTTCCTTGCAGCAGCCTCCCGCTTTTGCCTCAGTAGTCTGATCCTCTCCTTGTGCTTTTGGCTCCGATGACCTTTAACTTTGGCAACTCGGCCATTCTGTTTATCGCTGGATTGCCGATTTTTCTTAGCAGCCATAGTAGATGTTTCACTTTCAGAACGGGACCGCCTAGACTTGCGCCCAACTGTGGCACCAGATACTCCTGAAGGGTCTCCTTCTACTGCTGTTTCTGTTTGGGAGGGTTCATTCTCTTCTGCAGAAGACAAAGTATCTGAATCAGCAAGGTGACCACTAGAGGAAGGGGAAAGCATGCAATGATTAGAGGAGTCACTCTCATAGACTCGGCCAGTTGTCGGCTTGTCGCTCTCTGTGGATGCTAACTGAGACTCAGAAGAGTCCCTTCTCAGTTCCATCAACAAGCAGGGCATTGAAGAAAGAACTGTAGAATCTGCTACACCATCTTTCTGAACTTGGGATTCCAGTTCTACAGATCCATCTTCTTCCTTGGCTGTCTCTTGTTCAGAGGTTTTTGGTGGGACTTCAGACTCAATGAGTTCTTCAACTTTTCCCACTGCCTCCTCCATCTTCATTTCAGAATTTCACATTAAATCATGGAGCAGAGTCTAGGAAACGGTATCAAGGATGCAACTGGAATCCTGTATGAAAACACATGGTATCAATGAACAGAAATGGAAGATTATTTAATTAACACAACAGACCAACTTTTCTAAGGGAGTGACAAAGGTTACTGCTATGTGGCTTAGTGGTTGAGTGCTTGGCTAGCAAGCATGAAGCCCTGAGTCTGATGCCTCATTAACACATAAACAGAAAAAGCCAGAAGTAGAGCTGTGGCTAAAGTGGTAGCGTGCTAGCCTTGAGCAAAAGAAGCTCAGGGACCGTCTCTGGCCCTGAGTTCAAGCCTCAGGACTTGGTAGGGGGGAGGAGAAGAGACTACAAATTCAAAGGATTTATCAAATCCTAGCAGACTTCACTATCAAAAATGGCACAATATTATTTTTCTTTTACTAAACTTGCAAACCCAGCAAGTAACCAAGTAAAAGATTTTGAAGTTTACAACTTGAAACACAGCTAAAGAGGTAGCTCAGCAGAAGAGCACTTGTTTTAGACAAAAAAGGCTTTGGGGTTCAATCTTCAGTACCAGTAAAAATAAAGACTAGTTTAAATAAAGTACTCAAGAAAGGAATCTCCAAAAACATTATTTTAGTTAAGATGTATGCTTGATTTTAATACAAATGAAAAGAATGCCTCAAAGAAAAAGTCAATGGGAAAAAAATCAGAAATCAGTGGATAGGAGTAAATTAATCTTTACAACCCTACTTTCCAACCCTGCCAGAGTATAATACTCAGTATTTCATTTGCCTGAGGAAAGACTGCAAGGGTAGAGGTTTTTTGTTTGTTTTTTTGTGGTTTTTTTGGGGTCCAGTGGTGGGGCCTGAACTCGGCCTGGACGCTGTCCCTCAGCTCTTCAGCTCAAGGTTAGCGCTCTACCACTTGAGCCACAGCGCCACTTCCGGCTTTTTTCTTTTTGCTTATGTGGTGCTGAGGAATCGAACCCAGGGCCTCATGCTTACAAGGCAAGCACTCTACCACTGAGCCACCTTCCCAGCTCCCAGGGTAGAGGTTTTATACCCTGGTTTTATGAAACTTTGGGGGATGTGAAGTCTTGGTTCTAATACTCTAAAATATTCCTCTCACATGAAAAAAAAAAAAAAAGAAACTAGTCAACAAGGGTGACATTGTCTAAAAGGAAATATACTCGTTACCTGACTTATGTTACCTCTCTTATATTACCTTTTTAATAACAATTTAAAAATAAAAACTTTAAAAAAAGAATATAAAAAGATTACAGGTGGGCTGGGAAGGTGGCTCAGTGGTAGAGTGCTTGCCTTGCATGCATGAGGCCCTGAGTCCGACACCTCAGTACCTCATAACCAGAAAAAGCCAGAAGTGGCACTGTGGCTCAAGTGGTAGAGCACTACTAGCCTTGAGCTGAAGGACAGCACCCAGGCCCAGAGTACAGGCCCCACAACCAACCCCCCCACCCAAAAAAAAAAAATCACAATAATTATATGGATCAAATCTGTTGTTCCCTAAAAAGCAGCTGCTAAACAAGGAAACTAAGAGAAAGACCAGTGAGATGTTGGTGGCACAAGCCTGTAATCCTAGTACTTGGGTGGCTGAAGCAGGAGTATCCTGAGCTCAAAGTCACCCTGAGCTACTTAAATCTATCTCAGAGAAAAGACAGGCAGGCACCAGTGGCTCAGACCTGTAATACTAGCTACTCACTAGGTTGAGATCTCAAGATCATGGTTTGAAGCCAGCCTAGGTAGGAAAGTCTGTGAGATATGAGACTCTTATCTCCAACTAACCACCAAAAAAGAACAAAAAAAAAACCAGAAGTAGATCTATGGCTCAAGTAGCAGAACTCTAGCCTTGAGCAAAACCAAAAACAACAAGGAAAAAAAACTTTGCTGTTTAGTCTTTCCTAGTTCCTATATCCCTCTCACCGAGCAGATTATATATATATAAAGTGCAAAATGTGTATCAGATTTTTTTCTAAAGAGTTTTTCATAAAGCAGACTTTTCTGTATTGATAAAGTACTTGAACTGTGTTTTACTGGCTATTATGAAACAACATTTTGCACTTTATATGCTGAATTTAGAACCTGACATCCTAACCTTAACTATGAGAGATGTAACTCCAATCATGAGAACAGAACATAATCTTTAACCACAAGTTTGTGATCTTAACAGTACAAACTTTATAAGCTTACTCTGGGCCTGGTCTCTGGGCCTCAGCTCAAGGCTAGCACTCTACCACTTGAGCCACAGCACCACTTCCAGTTTTCCGGTGGTTAACTGAGATCAGAATATCACAGAGTCTCCTGCCGGGGCTGGCTTTGAACCACAATCCTCAGATCTGAGCCTTCTGAGTAGGTAGGATTACAGGCTTGAGCCACTGGCACCCAACTAAGCTTATGATTTTAAGAGAATGCTAAGTATGTGCAAGGCAAATCAAATTCTCTTCCTCTGCCTGTGATATTACAGAAGGCAAGGACCATGTCCCTCAAGACACACACACAAGCATTAATTCATTGGTAGACTGGTGAGCTGCAATATAGCATCTCTATTAGTTGTCTTGACCAAGTTATCTAACAGTTCAATCTATGGTAGACAGAAATTAGAAAATACCTGAAAAAAAAATCCATTCACTGAACTAACATGACAAGTCTACTTTTTGTTTAACGTGAACACAAACAGTCTATATATCTAGATTTTGTTCTTCATAACTTTGTTCTCAATTGCTGATAATTTCCTTAATACAATCATGAAAAACAGGCACTGGAACATTTATTAATTTAAAACTTTCCTATATATAATCTATTTTATAAGAATATTTGTAGCATTACTAATATTTTAGTTGAATGAAAATAAGCATAAAGTTTTTCTTAACACAGGTCCAAAAGGAATGCAGTACTTCTGAAAGCCAACAGAGGGAGGAATAAATTAAAAGTGTCATAAAGTATGCTCAGTCTTCTATTGAGAACCAATTTATATATTCTAGAATAAAGGTGTTTTTCTTAAAGTTGAAATAGCTGGGGCTGGGAATGTGGCTTAGTGATAGAGTGTTTAGCTACCAAGCATGAGGCCTGGGATTGATTCTTTGGTAGCACATAAAAAAAAATAATAATAATTTTTTTTACGTTGAAATAGCTGAGATATATACTCAAAAGTAATCTCAATTATAAAATATCTAATTTCTCAAAGGCAGTGGCACTAAACCTTTTCAACATAATAAATAAATTCACGGCCTCTTTCTTCAAGCTTCTGATGAAGCTAAGGCCACACTGGGGCGAAGCCTTTAGTCATCTGAAACTGGCACCATTGCCATCAGCACAGTCCCACATTTGTACAAAACACAGACTCATCTCTAAGGTCACCTACATCTACTCTTCTCATTCTCCAGAATCAGGTACTCTGCATGGAAAATAAGAGTGATACCCTTATTAAAGCAGCTGGTATAAATTTTGAGCCTTTTGATACTGGCCAATAACATTGAGAACCTCATCAACTGTGAAGGGGCTGTTGGATCTGCTCTTGTAGTTGGCCTGCCACTAGGCCAGCAGGAGGCTCTGACCTCTTGAGAAGAAAGAAAGAAGAATCTAAGGAGTGTAATGATGACATGGGCTTTGGTCTTTTTGACTAATCCTCTTTTGCGTCACAGTCAATAAAAAGCTGAAATCTGGGGGCTGGGAATGTGGCATGGTGGTAGAGTGTGTGCCTAGAATGCATGAAGCGTTGGGTTCAATTCTTCAGTAACACATAAACAGAAAAGGCCAGAAGTGGCACTGTGGTTCAAGTGGTAGAGTGCTACCCTTGAGCAAAAGAAGCTCAGGGACAGTGCCCTGGCCAAAAAAAAAGCTGAAATCTGGGGTTCAGTAGAAGAGCACTTGTCTAGTAAGTACAAGACCCTTAGAACCACACACACACACAAAAAAAAAAAGTGAAATCTTAAAAAATTGTTTAGAGCCAAGCGCCGGTGGCTCACACCTGTAATCCTAGTTACTCAGGAGGCTGAGATCTGAGGATCACAGTTCAAAGCCAGCCCAGGCAAGAAAGTCTGTGAAACTCTACCACTGGAGCCACAGCGCCACTTTCAGCTTTTTCTGCTTATGGGTGCTGAGGAATCGAACCCAGGGCCTCATGCATGCGAGGCAAGCACTCTACCACTGAGCTACCTTCCCACCCCGTCCTTGAAACTTTTTTTTGGGGGGGTGGGGGGTGGGGAGTCCAGTCGTGGGGCCTGACCTCTGGGCCTGGGCACTGTCCCTCAAGGCTAGCGTTCTACCACTTGAGCCACAGCGCCACTTCCGGCTTTTTTCTTTTTGCTTATGTGGTGCTGAGGAATTGAACCCAGGGCCTCATGCACGCACGGCAAGCGCTCTACCACTGAGCCACCTTCCCAGCTCCTGTCCCTGAAACTCTTATCTCCAATAAACCACCAGAAAACCGGAAGTGGCTCAAGGCTAGCACTCTACCACTTGAGCTGAAGAGCTGAGGGACAGCGCACAGGCCCACGGTTCAAGCCCCATGACCAATAAAAAAATAAAAAAGATTGCTTAGATTAACTAATCTTACTTCTTCAGGAAATAAACTGCATGGACAGCACAAATTAATCTGCACTGCTTTTGGTTTTTATGGTGGGGGGTACGCGCACGCACATGCCTACACATGTACACACCAGTCCTTCAAATCAATCACAAAATACTTGAATCAACCATGAATAGAACCAGTCGGTTTATCAGAGTATCCCTATACAATGTAGCTCTTAAGAGTTGGTGGACCAACTGGGTGATCCCAGCCACCTCTGCCCTGATGGTGGCTCTGATATATTGCTTCTATATGGCAGAAAACTGACTTCCTCTAGATGCTGAGGAAGAAGAGACCATCTTGGCTGAGGGAGAAAAAAAGCCAGTGTTAATCACTTCCCTTGACAAAACGTTTCACCTGAAAAAGTAACTTCAACAGGTCTACTTCTCTCCTTCCACATTCTAAACAGAACAAAAAGAACTGTCTACTACTCTACCTTTCAGATATGCCTTTTTATTCATCAACTTTATTTATTTACTTACTT